CCTTATGTCAACTTATCATAGTGTGATCTCGAACTTGGTTATTAGTCTTGCTTGATTACGAAACACAAGTTTTCTTTGATTTCCAAAGATCTTAACTCTTAGAGTAAACCAACTATGCTTTATTGGTGTACTCCTAATGTGAGCATAGATTTCTTGAGCGGACATTTATCGAAGTGTAATGTGATAATTGTTTTTAAAATACAAGGAATGACATGTCCTGTCTTAGTGATCCACCTATCTCCATTAAATTCCTAGTGCATCTAACAAATTACCCACGTGTAAACCTTTACCGGGTCCATCGAATTGAGTGTCAAAATATACAAATCCTTCAATGAGATAACCATGATGACTTTAAGTCTAAGTCCGAGTTGTATCTATCTCGTATGAGATTCTCATAGATTAAACCAAATAAGTTCTCATGCGAGTAAAGTCTACCGATATATTTTCTATCATAAATCACCTAAGTGCTTACGTTAGCATCATCATGCCAATAGGTGTAAGATCTCCAATTGCTTTTATATAGCATTTGCATAGCACTAATAAGTCTAATCACATATAGTCAATATCTATTCTTGATAATGTCATGACTTAGGACATTTAATGATATCATTTATGTGCATTAGTGTTTGTCGCACATCTTGTGATCAATCACTAATGTAAATGCATATCAAATGAGCTTCTATCTAATTCTATTTAATAAATAAATATAAAACATAAGAATTAATAATTTTTTTATTAATAAAATAAATAATACAATAACTCAAATCTATCCAAATATGGTTGGATCTTGAGCACCTATAGTAACAGTAGAAGATCTCACACATATTAGCATGATGATGCCGAAGTAAACACTTTGGTAATTAACATTTGAGAATATATCACTAGACTTGACTCACCATAAGAACCTATTTGGTTTAGTCTATGAGATCTTATACGAGATGGGTATAATTAGTCATTAGACTTAAAGTTGTTATAGTTATCTCATTAGAGAATTTGTGTACTTTGACACTCATTTTGATGGACTCACTAAAGGATTGGATATGGGCAATTCGTTGGGTGCACTAGGAATCTAATAAAGGTCGATGAGTAACTAAGATAGGACATGTCATTTCTTATATGCTAAAGGAGTCATCATATTGCACTTCGATGAATATCTCGCTCAAGAAATTTGTGGCCACGGTAGGAGTACACCAATAGAGAATAGGTTGTTTACTCTAAGGGCTAAGACATTTGAGAATCAAAGAAAACTTGTGTGATCATAATCGAACGGACTAAATAACCAAGTTCAAGCTCACACTTGTGATAAATGGACATGAGGATTGAATTGCATGATAACCATACTCGTGAAAGGTAATTACAAATTAATTAATCCTTCAGAGAATTGGATAGTCATGATGCCTTGCTTGGAGGTCAATCTTGATTTATGTATCAAGAGATAAAAGATGTATCTTTTATTTTTGATAAATTGCCAACATATCTAGGAGCCTATTGAGTGACATACATAGGTTTAAACATACATATAATAAAAGAAAAGCAAAGATATTGAGAAAAGTTTTCAATTTTGGAAAAAGTTTTTGAAAAAGGAAAAGTTTCCTAAAATGGAAAGTTTCTTACTTTAGAAATCGGTTTCGAATTAATTTGGAAATCGAGTTCCAAATATGGGAGTAATTTACCTAAAGAGGGAAAATAGTTTTCCTAATTTAGGTTTAATGATAATTTAGGAAATTGCTTTCTAAAGTGGGCTTCCTAAAAATATATGACCTAATTTATTTGGATTATCTAAATTAATTGGTAATTAATTGAGTTAGAGGAGTTTAGGCCAATAGGTTTAATTAAAAAGCTTACAAGATTTTTTGATGGGAGGATAAACATGAATCTTATTGGATAAAAATGAACCTTATTGGATAAAAATGAATGTTTAAAAATATAAGATCAAAAAGTTCATATGCATAAAACTCCTAATCCTTGTAGTATTAGGAAGTAACAACCAAACATCCTTTAGGGATTTATTAAAGTCTCCTTCCTTATCCTAAGAGGACAAGGATGAGACTCCCCTATATAAATAGAAAGAGAGGAGGTAGCAAAGGGTGGATGAAAGAGAGATCACACACAACAAAGAGAGAAAAAAAAATAAGTTGGCCTACATGGCAACAAATAGCATAGAGAGAAAATAGTTTTCTCTTCCTAAAAATTACACCACCTTTATTCCTTCTCTTAGGGTTGTCGTATAAATTACACTAAATATATTTTTAAAGAAAAAGACAAAACAAGTCGGAAAAGGTGAAGCTAGCACTTTACTAATTTTTAGTAGGTTGGTGCTTGGATTGCGTGGATTATCAATAGAGGCCGAACATTAAGATGACTCCTTTTCTACAAATGTCTAATTCTATGATATAAGAGGTAATCATTTGTTTATTTTTTAATTCATACACACACACACACACACACACACACACACACACACACACACACACACACACACACACACACACACACACACACACACATGCATACATACGCGCACGTGCGCATACACACACACACACACACACACATATATGATTAGTTGATTCAACGAGCACGATCTTGGAAACTTTAGATGGAAGGAATTTTTTTTTATTCGCATCTCCATAGGATGCATGATCCTTCATAAAGTTTAAAAATTCACATAATAAAAGAGAAGCAAAGATTTTGAAAATGGTTTCTAGTTTTGAAAGTTTCCTATTTTGGAAAAAATTTTCCCGCTTTGGAAAGTTTCATGTTTTGAAAAAAGCTTCATAAAATGGAAAACTTTCTATTTTAGAAATCGGTTTCCTAATTTGAAAGTTAGTTACCTTAAAAGATATTAGTTTCCTTATATGAATAATGGGGAGAGAGGTAGCAAGAGAGGGTGAAAAAAAAACCACACACACATGACAACAAAAAATAGAAACGAGAGAAAATGTTTCTCTCCTTAAAAGCTTGAGTTGCCAAAAAAACAAAAACCTTAACTAATTTCTTTATAAAGTAAATTAACTATACATAAGGATTGGAGCTAGCACTCTATGATTTCTATAGCTTTCTTTATGGGTTTTAAAACTATGTGAATAATTAATAGAGGTCGGGCACTTGGAGTATGATTGTTTTTTACGTTACAAGATGTAATCTTTTACTCATATTTATATTAATGTTAATATATGATTAGTAGATTTAATGACATGATCTTGAAAATCCAAGATGGATGGAATTTTTTTTTGTTTTATTCCGTACTTCTATAGGATGCATGATCCTTTCAAACATATATAGGAGCCTATTGAGTCACACGCATAATTTTAAACATTCACTTAATAAAAGAGAAGCAAAGATTTTGAAAAAACATTTTTTTTTTGGAAAAAGTTTCCTAAAATAAAAAGTTTCCTATTTTAGAATTAGTTTTCTAATTTGGAAGTCAATTTCAAATTTGAAAGTAAGTTATCTAAAAAGGAAATTAGTTTCCTAATTTAGGCTTGATGGCAATTTGGAAATTATTTCCTAATGTGAACTTTCTAAAAATATCCGACACTATTTATTTGGATAGTCAAAATTAATTGATAATTAAGTTTTGAGCTAATACGCTTAATTTAAAAGTATACAAGATATTTTGATAGGGTGATAAACTTGAACCCTATAGGGTAAGGTTCGGGGTTTACAAGGATAAGATCAAATAAGTTTACATATATTACAATTCTTTGTCCTTGGAGGACAAAGATGCCACTCCCTTTACATAAATAAAGGGAAGAGAGGCGAGAAAGAGGGGGTTAACTAACACATACATACACGATGCTCGAAAAAGAAAAGAAAGAAAACGTTTCTCTCCCAAAAATCAAGTGTTGCCATGTCCCTCCACACGAACCACGAGTTATTGAAAAAAAACTTGACCGATTTACGTAGAGAACAAAATTAATTGCATAAAAGGATTGGAGCTAGCACTGCGGGATTTCTATAACTTTTCTTATAGGTGTTTAAGCTACATGGATTATCAATAGAGACCGGACACTTGGACGACATCTTTTTGCTTAATTGTTTTCACGCACTATAAGAGGTAATCTTTCATCCATATTTATATTCATGTTAATGTATGATTAGTTGATTCAACAGTTTGATTTTGGGAGTCTTAGATAGAGAAATTTTTTTGTTTTATTCTACACCTTTATAGGATGCATGATCCTTCGTCAACGAGTCAAAGTCATCGTTACGCCATGGTGATACGAGATTTTAGCCAAAAAGAAAAATCGTTTAGGCCCTCAAAATGGACTTTTTTTATTTTTGCGATTTTTCAAGTTGATTAAGGGTTTCATGTTTTTTTTCCCCCTATTTATATGTAAGCCTGTGTGGCTGTAAAAAGAGTTTTGAAGTGATTAATAGAATTGAGAGTATCTCATTTTATTCCAATTTCCGATATTCTTTGTATTAGCGGCCCTTGAAGCTTATTTCCTTGTATTCGTGTGTGAACCAATATATTATAGTAGATTGATATCTTGTATTTGAGTGCGAATCAACAGATCATGTATTCATACTTTCTTTTATAAGCTTCTGCTACGTCAACTGCTCTCTCTTCAGAGTGTCGAAATGGAAAGGATATGATGGGACCACGTAATTTTATGTTTTCAATTCGCTTCTTCATCCTTAACGATGGATTCAGCTGCACATTTTATAAAAAAATTTCCAAATAAAAAAGAAAATGATAAGCCAAAATTAATATTCTTATGCCAATTCTATTAGCAATAAATATTGAAGTAAAAATTCACAAAGCAATGACGGTGAAAAATATGAAAACTTAAACAAGAGAAACTGGACAGACCTTCCATTGCATCAGAGTTAGCTCAACTCAATGGATAATTTTGCGTTCCGAAACTTCACACAAGCTTGTGAGTTCACTCTCATGTCACCTCGATTAATTTTACTTATCGCGTTTTTTATGCATAAGATTACAATATACAAACACATTTATATGTTGGAATTTGTAAACAGATATGGGAAACTTAACATCCACCAACTGTTGAGGAGGTTTTGGAATCCTGAAGAGATATCACCGTTTCGAAAGCACCAACCAGAGCTTTCACCTTACTCTTCCTGCTCTCAACAAGCTTACCTGCAGTCTCCTCGATCATGTTATTTAACAAACTCTGCACAATTTTCTTTTCTTGCACATCTTGGTGTTTTAAAACAACTTTCTCAGATTCAATTTCTACGATATTAGCTTCACAAACTTCTTTGTTCTTAAGGTTGTTCTTGCTGGTATCAACTTCATCAATCTGGGCATCGCTAGGAACTCTTCCCCTAAATTTGAGTCTCCTTGAAGTTCTACTTTCAAGCTGAAGTTCAACGACCTTTCCTGACCTAAAATTTACCTTCCTGGCTGCGGAATCTTTATCTGTAGTGCAAATTACTCCACCCTTCCTAGGCCTAGTCTTAGATGGCAGTTTGTTTGCAGCTGTATTCTTAAGATCAGTTTCATAGCGTTCACACGAGGCACTGCTATGAGAAGACTTGGATGATGCCAAAGAAGATATGGGTGTTCGACTAATGCGAGTTTTTCCATCTTTAAGATGTATAACGCACTTCTTCTCGGAGGATGGAGGCAGCAGAGTGGCATGAATTCCTTTTTTAGTGCGCCTCGCGATCTTCTTAGCAGGAGGTGCAGACAATCCAGCTGTGAGAGTTCCAATTTGAGACAGTTTCACTGTTCTGTTCTCATCAGTATCTAATTCAATGATATGCAGAGCCTTCTGAGGAACATCCTGACAGCCAGGTTGATCATATTCAGCTTTTACCACTTCATTTAGACCTTTCAGTTGAGAACCTCCTTTAACACGACGTTTGGGAAACACAGAAACAATTGGTCGCATCAAAACTTTCTTGACAGATGAAGGAAGAGTTGGTGGTGCCACCTTCTTCTTCTCACCAACATCTGATTTTACCTTGAGAGGTAATGAAAGCTGTCTTGATGGTACAATTTCTTTATTGGTTAATGATGAAACTTTTCTCCCAGTGACAACAGGAACACCGGAGTTGTGTCTTTTTGAACGAGGCGATGGAAATGTTCTCTGTCTTTCTGACAAAGTTACGGTCTCCTTCATATCCCTGCCTTGATTTTCTGTGATCCTCTTTAACATGGGATTGCTTTTCTTCGTTTCTGGATCATGTTTTATTCCATATTTGCAATAATCATGGCAGGAACCAGTTGACGATGCGAGATAGCGGGAAAGAATCTTTACTCTAGTGTAGGGGATAGCTATATCCCCAGTGGAGTACCTTCTTTCATGACCACCTCTAGGCTCAGTATTCTCTGGAATTGCTATGGTAGAAGAATCATTCTCAGGGATCAGAGACGTAGAATCACTGTCATGGATTAGAAAGACAGAATCATTCACTGGGATCACTGACATAGAACTCCTCCCTCTGATAACATCAGTACCATTACCAATCATTGCTACTGAAACAAAACCGAAAATTCCCCAGCCCTGTAGTAGCAGAGAGGAACTTTTCAACTGAGACAACAAGAGAGAATACAAATTAAAGCAAACCAAGAAGTCGAACAAACAAGTACTGCCAAATTACTCTTTTCCTTAATTTTGAGTGTGGTATGTTGAAGAGAAAATGTATGAATCAGTACTGAGCTTAACAAGAATCACAAATAATGAGCAATAAAGATCTCGAGCTCTTAAAATCAACTTCGTGAGGTAAAACAAAAATTTTCCAGAGGGTTGAGGTTGAGGGCGCTGGTGATTGTTCAAGCAAGCGATGCCAAATTAATAGCTTAGAGGACTAAACCTTCAGAACTGCTAAAAAATCATGCTTACCTCAATTAAAATCCAAAAATTAGAAAAAGCTCTCGCATACTGACTCAAATTTCTCTCGGCACCTGCTCAAAATTAAAAAAATATGAACATGCATGACTGTTTACCGTCAAATGCATAAAAAATGCAGACATAAAACATTAATTATTAATTAATTGGAGCATGTGGAAGAGCAGGAGTACTGACTGATTCCATTCTATGGCTTCAACCATACTTCATTAAATAAAATAAATCTCTAGCTATGAACAAAAGCTTATTGAATTTTTTTTTTTTTGAAGGCTTCTTTTCAACTTCGAAATTCACTTATTATTATTATTATTGTTGTTGTTGTTGTTATAATAACAAGGCGATTATATTAATTTAAAACAGTAATATGCAGAAGGATTCAATTATTATTGCCTCATTGCGTTATTTCATGCATGCAAGAGTCTCCTACAAAAATAAAAATGTCAAAACATCGTAACACAAACACACACATACACAAGGATACAAAAAGTTAATGTGAAGAAAAATACAAACAGAATCTTACTTGTCTCAAAAGGTAGTCATCTGATAGATTATATATTAAGGAAAATTTTAAAGAACTAGGTGTATATATATGCCCAAAATCTGAAAAGTTAATTTCATGCAGCTCGACTCGAGACAGAGGAGAGGAACATAACAATATTAATTTAAGCAAAAGAACTTGACGTCAAAATTAACACCAATTTCATTGTTTTCTCCTTAAACAATTTATGGGACATGCATATATAAAAATGCAATTAAAAAAAAAAAACTCATTTTTTAGACAATCAAAGATCACAAACAGAGCTGAGAGTGAATTAAGAAGTTTATCAGATCAATGGAACAGCAACCAATTGATGCTAAGAAAATTGAAGGGCACAATAACAATTGATCCACGTGATTAGTACGTACTTGTATATTTTCTTATAGGTTATTAAAATGGCTTCAATATAATGCCTCCTTGGAACATACGGGCATTCAAATTAATTAATTAGAACCGAAATACTGCATTGCATGCATACTTGGCTCTAATCAACTAAAATGACTCATGATTTCCATCAAATATCAAGTAAAAATTTTCCATTTTTCAAAGAAAAAGAAAAGATATACAAAATAGAAAGAAATCAAAACAAGGGCAATACGAACCTTTTGTCCTCAGTTTCTCTAAAGAATCAGCAAAAACGAGTCTCTGCTTCGTATTGCCTCAACAAAAAAGATAAGAAAATAGACATGAGGGTTGCAATGGAATGCAAACGATAATTCACTGCTGGAATTTGGGGGCAAGGTCAAAAACCAACAAGCGCGTTTGTTGCAGTTGCAGTTTGCAGCATTGCCAACCAACCAAAACTGGAGAGCAGAGAGAGAATTTAACAACATCCCAACCTCAGAAAACGGAAATTCTCTTTGTTAACCGAGAGAAAGAGATCTTTTTTTTGTCACTATTATCTAATTATTGTTATAGTGTAGATATAAATCGGAGAAAAACCTTAGTTTAACCCCTGCTGTATTATTGCATTATCAATACAGTCTCAAACTTTTTATTTTATTAATTTAATAGACACTATACAGTGTCATTCCTCAATCTATGAACCATTCATGATAATTAAATATTTTGTCCAATTTGTGTGTATTCGTTAAGTACTTGAATCCAATGCATCAACATGAGCCTCGATATGTCCTAAAAGAAAATTTTACCATCAAATCATAGTGAAATTTTCTTTTTCTTTTTCTCCACTCTATTAACAAGTACAAGAAAGAAATTTACTACAATTTGATGCTAAAATTAATTATTATGGAGTATTTGAGTTTAATTTGTTATTAATAAAAAGAGTTAACGAACTCATCCAAATTGAATGAAATATTTAACGATCACTAATAGTGGATGGTTTGAGGTATCGCATTGTCCAATATCAATTATGTTTGAAGAAAAAATAACAAAAATAAAAAGATTAGGATTCAATTGATTATGAATAACACATCAAAGGCACAAATCAAGACTATTCTTAGGAAATTGGAACGACACAACTCGGAACGATATAGAGAAGATTTGCATGGCCCCAACGCAAGGATGACACTCATAAATTGAGAAATGAACCAAATTTTTACCACCAAGAGATGTGGTCTAGTGACAAAGGGTCAAGACTAGGGTTCAATTCTCATTATATATAAATAATTATGCTTGATTATTCCTTAGTGGTACTAGACTTGGGCTAGTTTGGCCTAAAGAGCATCCTAGTATTGAACAAAGACAAAGTGTGTTATCCCATTAGTTTTTCCTTGAAAATGATGAATTAATCTCGGTTGATGCAAAGGCTGGCCTAAAAGTACTCCACTATTGGTAAATATATACTAAAAAAACATGTCAAAGGCTAGATTGGGGTTTCTCCAAATAAATTAAATGATTGTATCTACCTATATTGTCCAACTCATATACTAGTTCAAATCATTAATATGTCAATTCTCTATATTTAGCTTTAAAAAGGGGGAAATCTCACTCCAATAAAAGGCTAAGACATCTTATCGAAGGAAATAAAAAAATAGAAAGTGCTAGTGTAGGTGTCCAAGATCTAACCATATTTGGATATGTTTGATTTATTGCATTATTGTATTATTTATTTTATTGGTAATAAAAGAAGTTTTTTTTTTATTAATTCTTATTATTTATATTTATTCACTAAACACTACCGGATAAATGGGATTTAGCGACGGGAAAAACCGTCGCTAAATAAAAAAACCGTTGCTAAAACGTTTTAGCAACGGTTTTGCGACGGTCAAGTAACCGTCGCTAAAAACCTCATCGGTGTTTTTTAGCGACGGTTTAGACCGTTGCGAAATTAGCAACGGTCTAAAACATTGCTATTCCGTCCCTAAATGTCGATGTAAATAGTTAGGACATTAGCGACGGTTCAGTAAATCCTTGATATGACCGTTGCTAAATAGCGACGGATTAGCAACGGTCTTGACCGTTGTAAAATAGCGACGGATTAGCAACGGTCCGGACCGTTTCTAAGACCGTTGGTAATTGAAAAATAAATTTATTTAAAAAAATAATAAAATGAGATCAAAGTAACAATTTTAAGGTAGCAAAAATCTCGTAAACGTAAATTTTTATTATTCAAAATATATTAAAATGTTGCTAAACAATTACATTATTGTTAAATAAAAAAAATTAGTACATCGATCGTAGTTAATACAAGAAAACATAAAATCTAAAATAAGTTAATGTCTAGGATCCGTCGGAGGCCGGGTGGAGTCGTCCGGAGGTTGGGTCGAGTCGTTGTCGGTCTCGGGAACGACGGATGAACTACCACCACATTCAAAATGCCGTATGAATATCTGCTCGCATCCGTGACATCATTGTAAACTCGCTCTCGACTATTGTTTCTCAACTCAATCATGGTATCAACAACGATGCCACTTGGCCTTGTAGGATGCTCGCGGTACCTCTAAGTTGTGGATGTGCGTCGTGTTTGTAGATGTTTGCTCTTGAATTTCCTTCAACTGTGCCTCCTCAGCTGCATTGAATCCGGAAGTAGTAGAAGATGAGCTCGCATTGACATTTGAATAATAGTGAATGCATGTGAGCCGAGTCCGTACATCCTCTTCCTCCTACTATCTCCTCCACCAGCGGCCCTTTGAAAGATGTCATTAATGTCGGGTGCGGTCGCTTCGGTCCCTCCCGATCGTCGACTAGCAACCTCTTCCTTATTAATTAATCTTTGTACGGTCTCTTGTATAATTATGAAACACGTCACATCAAATACGGTTGTCAAATAACGTTATTAACTAACGGATATTAAATAATGTTTCAAATTTATCACTTACTCGATAACACTCGACCGTTGATCGACGAAGACTAATTGATCATTAACCTTTCTCCGATGAGTCCTCAAGAAAACCTCGTGAGGATCGGGTTTACGACCCAACACATTACGCCGAAAACATATATAAATAAACGTAAATGTATTAAATATAGTCGGATGTTTAATTAATTATTTGGATATTATTTTTTTTAAAAAAGTATAACTAAATTAAATAATATATTTTTTTACCATGCGTGTGGCGTGCTCTCTATGGCTGATTGATCCCCCGTATGTCTAGAAGGACGAGCTCCGACTCCACCAGGCCTCACTCATACGGTTCCGTGCTCGCCATCTCGGATCAAGCAACGGTCTCGGGTTTCGTCCATTCCGTAGTCCATGCATCCCATATTTCTTGTGAGATATATGCCGGCTTCGGGTTTTTTCTTAGACGACAAAGGAAGTCGAATATCGCTTTCGTGCGAGACTTTCCTATGCTTTCTTAACTATGCTCTCGTTTAAATCATCATCCCACTTAAATGATTTCGGCAAAAAAAAAAAAATATACACTACTAACTTTACTTTCATATTATTTTATACAATTGAATTAAAAATTAAATAATATAATTAATCAAATAAAATTTAGAAATTAGAACCTTAAATTCTTCCCGAGTAAAAATCTTTTATCTCCGGACTCATTTTTTTCCACATCCATCCCGAAGAATGAATGTACTCTTGGAATGTCTTAACGATCGAACGAGAGCAAATATCGAAGGATACAACCTATAAAAAAATAAAAATTAATTAAATTCATAAATAACGAGTAGA